CCTAGCGTGTGCAAAAAATCAAGAACAAGGACCTAGCGTTCGCGAAATAGCAAGAACAAGGGCCTAGCATGTGCAAAAAAAAAAAAAACAAGGGTCTAGCATGTGCAAAATTGCAAGAACAAGGGCCTTGCGTGTGCAAAATTGCAAGAACAAAGGCCTAGCGCGTGCAAAATTGCAAGAACAAGGGCCTAGCAAGTGCGAAATAGCAAGAGCAAGGGCCTAGCGTGTGCAAAAAATCAAGAACAAGGACCTAGCGTTCGCGAAATAGCAAGAACAAGGGCCTAGCATGTGCAAAAAAAAAAAAAAACAAGGGTCTAGCATGTGCAAAATTGCAAGAACAAGGGCCTAGCGTGTGCAAAAAAAAAAGAACAAGGGCATAGCGTGTGCAAAATAGCAAGAACAAGGGCCTAGCATGTGCAAAATAAAAAGAACAAGGGCCTAGCGTGTGCAAAATAGCAAGAACAAGGGTCTAGCGTGTGCAAATTTGCAAGAACAAGGGCCTAGCGAGTGCAAAATAGCAAGAGCAACGGCCTAGCATGTGCAAAAAATCAAGAACAAGGGCCTAGCGTTCGTGAAATTGCAAGAACAAGGGCCAAGCGTGTGCAAAATAAAAAGAACAAGGGCCTAGCATGTGCAAAATTGCAAGAACAAGGGCCAAGCGTGTGCAAAATAAAAAGAACAAGGGCATAGCGTGTGCAAAATAGCAAGAACAAGGGCTTAGCGTGTGCAAAATAAATAGAACAAGGGCCTAGCGTGTGCAAAATAAAAAAAACAAGGGCCTAGCGTGTGCAAAATTGCAAGAACAAGGGCCTAGCGTGTGCAAAATTGCAAGAATAAGGGCCTAGCAAGTGCAAAATAGCAAGAGCAAGGGCCTAGCGTGTGCAAAAAACCAAGAGCAAGGACCTAGCGTTCGTGAAATAGCAAGAACAAGGGCCTAGCGTGTGCAAAATAAAGAGAACAAGGGTCTAGCATGTGCAAAATTGCAAGAACAAGGGCCTAGCGTGTGCAAAATAAAAAGAACAAGGGCATAGCGTGTGCAAAATAGCAAGAACAAGGACCTAGCGTGTGCAAAATAAAAAGAACAAGGGTCTAGCATGTGCAAAATTGCAAGAACAAGGGCCTAGCATGTGCAAAATTGCAAGAACAAGGGCCAAGCGTGTGCAAAATAAAAAGAACAAGGGCATAGCGTGTGCAAAATATAAAGAACAAGGATCTAGCGTGTGCAAAATAAAAAGAACAAGGGCCTAGCGTGTGCAAAATTGCAAGAACAAGGGCCTAGCGTGTGCAAAATTGCAAAAACAAGGGCCTAGCGAGTGCAAAATAGCAAGAGCAAGGGCCAAGCGTGTGCAAAAAATCAAGAACAAGGGCCTAGTCTTCGCGAAATAGCAAGAACAAGGGCCTAGCATGTGCAAAGTAAAAAGAACAAGGGTTTAGCATGTGCAAAATTGCAAGAACAAGGGCCTAGCATGTGCAAAATAAAAAGAACAAGGGCATAGCGTGTGAAAAATAAAAAGAACAAGAGCATAGCGTGTGCAAAATAACAAGAACAAAGGCCTAGCGTGTGCAAAATAAAAAGATTAAGGGCCAAGCGTGTGCAAAATTGCAAGAACAAGGGCCTAGCATGTGCAATATTGCAATAACAAGGGCCTAGCGAGTGCAAAATAGCAAGAGCAAGGGCCTAGCGTGTGCAAAACATCAAGAACAAGGGCCTAGCGTTCGCGAAAAAGCAAGAACAAGGGCCTAGCGTGTGCAAAATAAAAAGAACAATGGCCTAGCGTGTGCAAAAATGCAAGAACAAGGGCCTAGCGTGTGCAAAATTGCAAGAACAAGGGCCTAGCGAGTGCAAAATAGCAAGAGCAAGGGCCTAGCGTGTGCAAAAAATCAAGAACAAGGGCCTAGCGTTCGCGAAATAGCAAGAATAAGGGACTAGCATGTGCAAAATAAAAAGAACAAGGGTCTAGCATGTGCAAAATTGCAAGAACAAGGGCCTAGCGTGTGCAAAATTGCAAGAACAAGGGCATAGCGTGTGCAAATTATAAAGAACAAGGGCATAGCGTGTGCAAAATTAACAGAACAAGGGCCTAGCGTGTGCAAAATAAAACGAACAAGGGCCTAGCGTGTGCAGAATTGCAAGAACAAGGGCATAGCGTGTGCAAAATAGCAAGAACAAGGGCCTAGCGTGTGCAAAATAAAAAGAACAAGGGCCTAGCGTGTGCAAAATTGCAAGAACAAGGGCATATCGTGTGCAAAATTGCAAGAACAAGGGCCTAGCGAGTGCAAAAAAGCAAGAGCAAGGGCCTAGCGTGTGCAAAAAATCAAGAACAAGGGCCTAGCATTTGCGGAATTGCAAGAACAAGGGCCTAGCGTGTGCAAAATAAAACGAACAAGGGTCTAGCATGTGCAAAATTGCAAGAACAAAGGCCTAGCATGTGCAAAAAAAAAAAAAAAAACAAGGGCATAGCGTGTGCAAACTAGCAAGAACAAGGGCCTAGCGTGTGCAAAATAAAAAGAACAAGGGCCTAGCGTGTGCAAAATAAAAAGACCAAAGGCCTAGCGTGTGCAAAATTGCAAGAACAAGGGCCTAGCGTATGCAAAATTGCAAGAACAAGGGCCAAGCTTGCCTGGTCTAGGATCTTTCCTGGTCCAGGAGCTTGCCTAGTCCTGGAGCGTACTTGGTCCACGAGTTTGCGTGGTTTAGGAGCTTGCCTGGTCCAGGAGCTTGCCTGGTCCAACAACTTGCCTGGTCCAAGAGCTTGCTTGGTCCATGAGTGTGCCTGGTCTAAGAGCTTGCCTAGTCCAGGAGCTTGCCTGGTCCAGGAGCTTGCTTGGTCCAGGAGCGTGCCTGGTCCACGATTCTCCCCAGTCCAGGAGCTTGACTGGTCCAGGAGCTTGCCTGGTCTAGGATCTTGCCTGGTCCAGGAGCTTGCCTGGTCCAGGAGCGTGCCTGGTCTATGTGTTTGCGTGGTTCAGGAGCTTGCGTGGTCCACGAGTTTGCCTGGTCCAAGATCTTGCCTGGTCCAGGAGCTTGCCTGGTCTAGGATCTTTCCTGGTCCAAGAGCTTGCCCAGTCCTGGAGCGTGCTTGGTCCACGAGTTTGAGTGGTCCAGGAGCTTGCCTGGTCTAGGAGCTTGCCTGGTCCAGGAGTTTGCCTGGTCCAGGAGCTTGCTTGGTCCAGGAGCTTGCGTGGTCCACGAGCTTGCGTGGTCTAGGAGCCTGCCTGGTCCAGGAGCTTGCCTGGTCTAACAGCTTGCCTGGTCAAAGAGTTTGCTTGGTCCACGAGCGTGAATGGTCCAAGAGCTTGCCCGGTCCAGGAGCTTGCCTGGTCTAGGAGCTTGCTTGGTCTAGGAGCGTGCCTGGTCCAGGAGCTTGCCTGGTCCAGGAGCTTGCCTGGTCTAGGATCTTTCCTGGTCCAGGAGCTTGCCTGGTCCTGGAGCGTGCTTGGTCCACGAGTTTGCGTGGTCTAGGAGCTTGCCTAGTCCAGGAGCTTGCCTGGTCCAGGAGCTTGCCTGGTCTAGGAGCATGCCTGGTTCACGAGCCTGCCCGGTCCAAGAGCTTGCCTGGTCCACGAGCGTGCCTCGTCCACGAGCGTGCCTGATCCAGGAGCTTGCCTGGTCTAGGAGCTTGTGTGGTCCAGGAGCTTGCGTGGTCTAGGAGCTTGCCTGGTCCAGGAGCTTGCCTGGTCAAAGAGCTTGCCTAGTCCAGGAGCTTGCTTGGTCCAGGAGCTTGCCTGGTCCAGTAGCTTCCCTGGTCTAGGAGCTTGCCTAGTATAGGAGCTTGCCTGGTCTAGGAGCTTGCTCGGTCCAGGAGCTTGCCTTGTTCAAGAGCTTGCCTAGTCCAGGAGCTTTCCTGGTCCAGGAGCGTGCTTCGTCCACAAGCCTGCCTGATCAAGGAGCTTGCCTGGTCCAAGAGCTTGCCTGGTCCAAGAGCTTGCCTGGTCCAAGAGCTTGCCTGGTCCAAGAGCTAGCTTGGTCTTGGAGCTTGCCTAGACCAGGAGCTTGCCTGGTCCAGGAGCTTGCCTGGTCCAGGAGCTTCCTTGGTCCAGAAGCTTGCCTGGTCCAAGAGCTTGCCTGGTCCAGGAGCGTGCCTGGTCCAAGAGCTTGCGTGGTCCAGGAGCTTGCCTGGTCCAAGAGATTGCCAGGTCCATGATTGAACCTGGTCCACGAGCGTGCCTGGTCCAGGAGATTGCCTGGTCAAAGAGCTTGCCTGGTCCAGGAGCTTGCCTCGTTCACAAGCCTGCCTGGTCTAAGAGCTTGCGTGGTCCACGAGCGTGCCTGGTCCACGAGTGTGCATGATCCAGGAGCTTGCTTGGTCCACGAGCTTGCCAGGTCCAGGGGCGTGCGTGGTCCAAGAGTGTGCCTGGTCCACGAGCGTTCCTGGTCGAGGAGCTTGCCTGGTCCAGGAGCTTGCCTGGTCCACGAGCGTGCCTAGTCCAGGAGCTTGCCTGGTCTAGGAGCTTGCCTGGTCCAGGAGCTTGCCTGGTCCAAGATCTTGCCTGGTCCAAGAGCTTGCCTGGTCCAGGAGCTAGCTGGTCCAGGAGCTTGCCAGGTCCAGGAGCTTGCTTGGTCCAGAAGCGTTCCTGGTCCAAGAGCTTGCCTGGTCTAGGAGCGTGCCTGGTCCAAGAGCTTTCGTGGTCCAGGAGCTAGCCTTGTCGAGGAGCTTGCCTGGTCTAGGAGCGTGCCAGGTCCAGAAGCGTGCCTGGTTCAGGAGCTTGCCTGGTCAAGGAGCTTGCCTGGTCCAGGAGCTTGCCTGGTCCATGAGCGTGTTTGGTCCACGATACTGCCTGGTCCAATAGCTTGCCTGGTTCAGGAACGTGCCTGGTCCACGAGCGTGCCTGGTCCAGGAGCTTGCCTGGTCGAGAAGCTTGCCTGGTCCGGGAGCTTGCCTGGTCCAGGGGCCTGCCTCGTCCAGGAGCTTGCTTGGTCCAGAAGCCCGTCTGGCCTAAGAGCTTGCGTAGGCATGGAGCGTGCCTGGTCCAAGAACTTGCGTGGTCGAGGAGCTTGCTTAGTCCAAGAGCTTGCCTGGTCCAAGAGCGTCCACGTCCACGTCCACGTCCACGTTCATCTCCACGTCCACTTCCACGTCCACGTCCATGTCCACGTTCACGTCCATGTCCACGTCCACGTCTACGTCCATGTTTACGTCCACGTCCACGTCCACGTCCACGTCCACGTTCATCTCCACGTCCACGTCCACGTCCACGTCCATGTCCACGTCCACGTCTACGTCCATGTTCACGTCCACGTCCACGTCCAACTCCACGTCCACGTCAACGTCCACGTCCACGACCACGTCCACGTCCACGTCCACGTCCATGACAATGTCCACGTCTACGTCCACGTCCACGTCGAGGTCCACGTCCACGTCCACGTTCACGTCCATGTCTACGTCCACGTCTTCGTCCACGTCCATGTCCACGTCTACGTCCACGTCCATGTCCAAGTCCACGTCCACGTCCACGTCCACGTCCACTTCCATGTCCACGTCCACGTCCATGTCCACGTTCACGTCCATGTCCACGTCCACGTCCATGTCCATGTCCATGTCCACGTCCACGTCCACGTCCATGTCCACGTCCACGTCCACGTCCATGTCCACGTCCATGTCCACGTCCACATGTCCACGTCCATGTCCACGTCCATGTCCACGTCCATATCCACGTCCACGTCCACGTCCACGTCCATGTCCACGTCCACGTCCACGTCCACGTCCATGTCCACGTCCACGTCCATGTCCACGTCCACGTCCACGTCCAAGTCCTCCACGTCCATGCCACGTCCAGGTCCACGTCCACGTCCACGTCCATGTCCACGTCGACGTCCACGTCCACGTCCACGTCCACGTCCAGTCCACGTTCAAGTCCTCCACGTCCACGTCCACGTCCACGTCCACTCCACGTCCTTGTCCACGTCCACGTCAACGTCCATGTACACGTCCACGTCCACGACCACGTCCACGTCCACGTCCACGTCCACGACCACCTCCACGTCCACGTCCACGTCCACGTCCATGTCCACATCCACGTCCATGTCCACGTCCAAGTCCTCCACGTCCACGTCCATGTCCACGTCCACGTCCACGTCCACGACCACGTCCACGTCCACGTCCACGTCCACATCCATCTCCACGTCCATATCCACGTCCACGTCCACGTCCACGTCGACTTCCATGTCCATGTCCACGTCCACGTCCACGTCTACGTCCACGTCCATGTCCACGTCCATGTCCTCTACGTCCACGTCCACGTCCATGTCTACGTCCACGTCCATGTCCATGTCCACGTCCACGTCCATGCCACGTCCACGTCCATGTCCATGTCCACGTCCACGTCCACGTCCACATCCACGTCCACGTCCACGTCCACGTCCACGTCCATGTCCACGTCCAAGTCCTTCACGTCCACGTCCACGTCCACGTCCATGTCCACGTGCATGTCCACGTCCACGTCGATATCCACGTCCACGTCCATGCCACGTCCACGTCCATTTCCACGTCCATGTCCATGTCCACGTCCACGTCCACGTCCACGTCCACGTCCACGTCCATGTCCACGTCCACGTCCACGTCCACGTCCACGTCCAAGTCCTCCACGTCCATGCCACGTCCAGGTCCACGTCCACGTCCACGTCCACGTCCATGTCCACGTCGACGTCCACGTCCACGTCCAGTCCACGTTCAAGTCCTCCACGTCCACGTCCACGTCCACTCCACGTCCTTGTCCACGTCCACGTCAACGTCCATGTCCATGTCGACGTCCACGACCACGTCCACGTCCACATCCACGTCCACGACCACCTCCACGTCCACGTCCACGTCCACGTCCATGTCCATGTCCACGTCCATGTCCACGTCCAAGTCCTCCACGTCCACATCTATGTCCACGTCCACGTCCACAACCACGTCCACGTCCACGTCCACGTCCACATCCATCTCCACGTCCATGTCCACGTCCACGTCCACGTCCACTTCCATGTCCATGTCCACGTCCACGTCCACGTCTACGTCCACGTCCATGTCCACGTCCATGTCCTCTACGTCCACGTCCACGTCCATGTCTACGTCCACATCCACGTCCATGTCCACGTCCACGTCCATGCCACGTCCACGTCCATGTCCATGTCCACGTCCACGTCCACGTCCACATCCACGTCCACGTCCACGTCCACGTCCATGTCCACGTCCACGTCCACGTCTACGTCCATGTTCACGTCTATGTCCCCACGTCCACGTCCACGTCCATGTCCACGTCCATGTCCACGTCCACGTCCATGTCCACGTTCATGTCCATGTCCACGTCCACATTTATGTCCACGTCCACCTCCACGTCCACGTCCATGTCCACGTCCACGTCCATGTCCACGTCCACGTCTATGTCCACGTCCATGTCCACGTCCATCTCCACGTCCACGTCCACATCCACGTCCACGTCCACGTCTATGTCCATGTCCACGTCCAGGTCGATGTCCACGTCCACGTCCACATCCACGTCCACCTCCACGTCCACGTCCACGTCCATGTCGACGTCCACGTCCACGTCCACGTCCATGTCCACGTCCACGTCGACGTCCATGTCCACGTCCTTGTCCACGTCCATGTCCACGTCCTCGTCCACCTCCATGTCCACGTCCACGTCCACGTCCATGTCCACGTCCACGTCCACGTCTACGTTCATGTCCATGTCTACGTCCACGTCCATGTCCACGTCCATGTCCACGTCCACGTCCATGCCCACCTCGACGTCCACGTCCACATCCACGTCCACGTCCAGTCCACGTTCAAGTCCTCCACGTCCACGTCCACGTCCACGTCCATGTCCACGTCCACGTCCACGACGACGTCCACGTCCACATCCACGTCCACGTCCACGTCCACGTCCACCTCCACGTCCACGTCCATGTCGACGTCCACGTCCACGTCCACGTCCCTGTCCACGTCCACGTCCACGTCCATGTCCACGTCCACGTCCATGTCGACGTCCACGTCCACGTCCATGTCCACGTCCACGTCTACGTCTACGTCCATCCACGTTCACGTCCACAACCACGTCCACATCCACGTCCACATCCACGTCCACGTCCATGTCCATGTCCACGTCCACGTCTACGTCCACGTCCATGTCCACGTCCATGTCCTCTACGTCCACGCCCACGTCTATGTCTACGTCCACGTCCACGTCCATGTCCACGTCCATGTCCATGCCACGTCCACGTCCATGTCCATGTCCACGTCCACGTCCACGTCCACATCCACGTCCACGTCCACGTCCACGTCCATGTCCACGTCCAAGTCCTTCACGTCCACGTCCACGTCCATATCCACGTCCACGTCCACGTCTACGTCCACGTTCACGTCTATGTCCCCACGTCCACGTCCACGTCAACGTCCATGTCCACGTCCATGTCCACGTCCACGTCCATGTCCACGTTCATGTCCATGTCCACGTCCACGTCCATGTCCACGTCCACCTCCACGTCCACGTCCACGTCCATGTCCACATCCACGTCCATGTCCACGTCCACGTCCACGTCCATGTCCACGTCCACGTCCACGTCCACGTCTATGTCCACGTCCACATCCACGTCCACGTACACGTACACGTCCACGTCCACGTCCATGTCCACGTCCACGTCCACGTCTACGTCCACGTCCACGTCCATGTCCACGTCCACGTCTACGTCCACGTCCATGTCCACGTCCATCTCCACGTCCATGTCCACATCCACGTCCACGTCCACGTCCATGTCTACGTCCACGTCCAGGTCGATGTCCACGTCCACGTCCACGTCCACGTCCACGTCCACCTCCACGTCCACGTCCATGTCGACATCCACGTCCACGTCCACGTCCATGTCCACGTCCACGTCTATGTCCACGTCCTTGTCCACGTCCATGTCCACGTCCTCGTCCACCTCCATGTCCACGTCCACGTCCACGTCCACGTCTACGTTCATGTCCACGTCCACGTCCACGTCCATGTCCACGTCCACGTCCATGTCCACGTCCATGTCCACGTCGACGTCCACGTCCACGTCCTCGTCCAGTCCACGTTTAAGTCCTCCACGTCCACGTCCACGTCCACGTCCATGTCCACGTCCACATCCACGACCACGTCCACGTCCACATCCATGTCCACGTCCACGTCCATGTCCACGTCCACGTCCACGTCCACCTCCACGTCCACGTCCATGTCGACGTCCACGTCCACGTCCACGTCCCTGTCCACGTCCACCTCCATGTCCATGCCACGTCTATGTCGACGTCCTCGTCCACGTCCACGTCCCTGTCCACGTCCACGTCCACGTCCACTTCCATCCACGTTCACGTCCACATCCACGTCCACGTCTACGTCCACGTCCACGTCCATGTCCACGTCCTCGTCCACGTCCATGTCCACGTCCACGTCCACCTCCATGTCCACGTCCACGTCCACGTCCATGTCCACGTCCACGTCCACGTCCACGTTCATGTCCACGTCCACGTCCACGTCCATGTCGACGTCCACGTCCACGTCCACGTCCATGTCCACGTCCACGTCGACGTCCATGTCCACGTCCTTGTCCACGTCCATGTCCACGTCCTCGTCCACCTCCATGTCCACGTCCACGTCCACGTCCATGTCCACGTCCACGTCCACGTCTACGTTCATGTCCATGTCTACGTCCACGTCCATGTCCACGTCCATGTCCACGTCCACGTCCATGTCCACGTCGACGTCCACGTCCACATCCACGTCCACGTCCAGTCCACGTTCAAGTCCTCCACGTCCACGTCCACGTCCACGTCCATGTCCACGTCCACGTCCACGACGACGTCCACGTCCACATCCACGTCCACGTCCACGTCCACGTCCACCTCCACGTCCACGTCCATGTCGACGTCCACGTCCACGTCCACGTCCCTGTCCACGTCCACGTCCACGTCCATGTCCACGTCCACGTCCATGTCGACGTCCACGTCCACGTCCATGTCCACGTCCACGTCTACGTCTACGTCCATCCACGTTCACGTCCACAACCACGTCCACATCCACGTCCACATCCACGTCCACGTCCATGTCCATGTCCACGTCCACGTCTACGTCCACGTCCATGTCCACGTCCATGTCCTCTACGTCCACGCCCACGTCTATGTCTACGTCCACGTCCACGTCCATGTCCACGTCCATGTCCATGCCACGTCCACGTCCATGTCCATGTCCACGTCCACGTCCACGTCCACATCCACGTCCACGTCCACGTCCACGTCCATGTCCACGTCCAAGTCCTTCACGTCCACGTCCACGTCCATATCCACGTCCACGTCCACGTCTACGTCCACGTTCACGTCTATGTCCCCACGTCCACGTCCACGTCAACGTCCATGTCCACGTCCATGTCCACGTCCACGTCCATGTCCACGTTCATGTCCATGTCCACGTCCACGTCCATGTCCACGTCCACCTCCACGTCCACGTCCACGTCCATGTCCACATCCACGTCCATGTCCACGTCCACGTCCACGTCCATGTCCACGTCCACGTCCACGTCCACGTCTATGTCCACGTCCACATCCACGTCCACGTACACGTACACGTCCACGTCCACGTCCATGTCCACGTCCACGTCCACGTCTACGTCCACGTCCACGTCCATGTCCACGTCCACGTCTACGTCCACGTCCATGTCCACGTCCATCTCCACGTCCATGTCCACATCCACGTCCACGTCCACGTCCATGTCTACGTCCACGTCCAGGTCGATGTCCACGTCCACGTCCACGTCCACGTCCACGTCCACCTCCACGTCCACGTCCATGTCGACATCCACGTCCACGTCCACGTCCATGTCCACGTCCACGTCTATGTCCACGTCCTTGTCCACGTCCATGTCCACGTCCTCGTCCACCTCCATGTCCACGTCCACGTCCACGTCCACGTCTACGTTCATGTCCACGTCCACGTCCACGTCCATGTCCACGTCCACGTCCATGTCCACGTCCATGTCCACGTCGACGTCCACGTCCACGTCCTCGTCCAGTCCACGTTTAAGTCCTCCACGTCCACGTCCACGTCCACGTCCATGTCCACGTCCACATCCACGACCACGTCCACGTCCACATCCATGTCCACGTCCACGTCCATGTCCACGTCCACGTCCACGTCCACCTCCACGTCCACGTCCATGTCGACGTCCACGTCCACGTCCACGTCCCTGTCCACGTCCACCTCCATGTCCATGCCACGTCTATGTCGACGTCCTCGTCCACGTCCACGTCCACTTCCATCCACGTTCACGTCCACATCCACGTCCACGTCTACGTCCACGTCCACGTCCATGTCCACGTCCTCGTCCACGTCCATGTCCACGTCCACGTCCACCTCCATGTCCACGTCCACGTCCACGTCCATGTCCACGTCCACGTCCACGTCCACGTTCATGTCCACGTCCACGTCCACGTCCATGTCCACGTCCACGTCCACGTCCATGTCCACGTCCACGTCCACGTCCACGTCCACGTCCACGTCCAGTCCACGTTCAAGTCCTCCACGTCCACGTCCACGTTCAGGTCCACGTCCACGTCCACGACCACGTCCACGTCCACGTCCACGTCCATGTCCACGTCCACGTCCACGTCCACGTCCACCTCCACGTCCACGTCCATGTCGACGTCCACGTCCACGTCCACGTCCCTGTCCACGTCGACGTCCATGTCCACGTCCATGTCTACGTCCAAGTCCACATCCACGTCCACGTCCACGTCTACGTCCACGTCCACGACCACGTCCATGTCCACGTCCACGTCCACGTCCACGTCCACGTCCAAGTCCTCCATGTCCACGACCACGTCCATGTCCACGTCCACGTCAACATCCACGTCCATGTCCACGTCCACGTCCATGTCCACGTCCACGTCCACCTCCATGTCCACGTCCACGTCCACGTCCACAACCACGTCCACGTCCACGTCCACGTCCACATCCACGTCCCTGTCCATGTCCATGTCCACGTCCACGTCCATGTCGACGTCCACGTCCACGTCCACGTCCCTGTCCACGTCCACGTCCACGTCCATGTCCACGTCCATGTCCACGTCCACGTCCACGTCCACGTCCATGTCCACGTCCACGTCCACGTCCATGACCACGTCCACGTCCACGTCCACGTCCACGTCCAGGTCCATGTCCACGTCGACGTCCACGTCCACGTCCACGTCCACGTCCACGTCGACGTCCATGTCCACGTCCACGTCCACGACCACGTCCACGTTCACGTCCACGTCCACGTCCACGTCCATGTCCACGTCCACGTCCACGTCCACGTCCACGTCCATGTCCACGTCCATGTCCATGTCCACGTCCACGTCCATGTCCACGTCCACGTCCACGTCCACGTCCACTTCCACGTCCATGTCCATGTCCACGTCCAAGTCCACGTCCACGTCCACGTCCACGTCCATGTCCACGTCCACGTCCACGTCCACGACCACGTCCACGGCCAAGTCCACGTCCATGTCCACGTCCATGTCCACGTCCACGTCCACGTCCATGTCCACGTCCACGTCCACGACCACTTCCATGTCCACGTCCATGTCCACGTCCACGTCCACGTCCACGTCCACGTCCACGTCCATGTCCACTTCCATGTCCGCATCCACGTCCACGTCCACGTCCATGGCCACGTCCACGTCCATGTCCACGTCCACGTACATGTCCACGTCCAAGTCCACGTTCAAGTCCTCCACGTCCACGTCCACGTCCATGTCCACGTCCACGTCCACGACCACGTCCACGTCCACGTCCATGTACAGTTCCACGTCCACGTCCATGTCCACGTCCACCTCCACGTCCACGTCCATGTCGACGTCCACGTCCACGTCCACGTCCCTGTCCACGTCCACGTCCAAATCCACGCCCACGTCCATGTCCACGTCCATGTCCACGTCCATATCCACGTCCACGTCCACGTCCACGTCCACGTCCATGTCCACGTCCACGTCCACGTCCACGTCCACGTCCATGTCCACGTGGACGTCCACGTCCACGTCCACGTCCACGTCGAGTCCACGTTCAAGTCCTCCAAGTCCACGTCCACGTCCACGTCCATGTCCACGTCCACGTCTACGACCACGTCCACGTCCACGTCCACGTCCATGTCCACGTCCATGTCCACGTCCACGTCCACGTCCACGACCACGTCCACATCCACGTCCATGTCCACGTCCACGTCCATGTCCACGTCCATGTCCACGTCCATGTCCACGTCCACGTCCATGTCCACGTTCATGTCCATGTCCACGTCCACGTCCATGTCCACGTCCACCTCCACGTCCACGTCCATGTCCACGTCCACGTCCACGACCACTTCCATGTCCACGTCCATGTCCACGTCCACGTCCACGTCCACGTCCACGTCCATGTCCACTTCCATGTCCGCGTCCACGTCCACGTCCACGTCCATGTCCACGTCCACGTCCATGTCCACGTAAACATCCACGTCCACGTCCCCGTCCACGTCCACGTCCACGTCCACGTCCACGTCCATGTCCACGTCCACGTCCACGTCTACGTCCACGTCCACGTCCACGTCCATGTCCACGTCCACGTCCACGTCCACGTCCACGACCACGTCCACGTCCACGTCCACGTCCATGTCCACGTCCATGTCCACGTCCACGTCCACGTCCATGTCCACGTCCATGTCCACGTCCACGTCCATGTCCACGTCCACGTCCATGTCGACGTCAACGTCCACGTCCACGTCCCTGTCCACGTCCACGTCCATGTCCACATCCACGTCCATTTCCACGTCCACGTCCACCTCCATGTCCACGTCCACGACCATGTCTACGTCCACGTCCACGTCCACGTCCACGTCTACGACCACGACCACGTCCACGTCCACGTCCACGTCTACGTCGATGTCCACGTCCACGTCCACGACCACGTCCACGTCCATGTCCACGTCCACGTCCATGTCCACATCCACGTCCACGTCCACGTCTACTTCCATGTCCACGTCGATGTCCACGTCCACGTCCACGTCCATGTCCACGTCCACGTCCACGTCCACGTCCACGACCACGTCCACGTCCACGTCCATGTCCACGTCCCGTCCACGTCCACGTCCACGTCCATGTCCACGTCCACGTCCACGTCCACGTCCACGTCCACGTCCACGTCCACGACCATGTCCACGTCCATGTCCACGTCCACGTCCACGTCCAGGTCCACGTCCACGACCATGTCCACGTCCACATCCACGTCCATGTCCATGTCCACGTCCACGTCCATGTCCACATCCACGTCCACGTCCACGTCCATGTCCACGTCCTCGTCCACGTCCACGTCCACGTCCATGTCCACGTCCACGTCCACGTCCACGACCACGTCCACGTCCACGTCCACGTCCATGTCCACGTCCACGTCCACGTCCACATCCACGTCCACGTCCACGTCCATGTCCACGTCCACGTCCACTTTGACGTCCACGTCCATGTCCACTTCCACGTCTACGTCTACGTTCATGTCCACCTCCACGTCCACGTCCACGTCCATGTCCATCTCCACGTCCATGTCCACGTCCACGTCCACGTCCATGTCCACGTCCACGTCCACGTCCACATCCACGACCATGTCCACGTCCATGTCCACGTCCACGTCCACGTCCACTTCGACGTCCACGTCCATGTCCTCGTCCACGTCTACGTCCACGTCGACGTCCACGTCCATGTCCACGTCCACGTCCACGTCCACGTCCATGTCCACGACCACGTCCACGTCCACGTCCACGTCCACGACCATGTCCACGTCCACGACCACGTCCACGTCCACGTCCACGTCCACGTCCACGTCCACGTCGACTTCCACGTCCACGTCCACGTCCATGTCCACGTCCACGTCCATGTCCACGTCCACGTCCACGACCACGTCAACGTCCACGTCCATGTACAGGTCCACGTCCACGTCCATGTCCACGTCCACCTCCACGTCCACGTCCATGTCGACGTCCACGTCCACGTCCACGTCCCTGTCCACGTCCACGTCCAAATCCACGCCCACGTCCATGTCCACGTCCATGTCCACGTCCATATCCACGTCTACGTCCACGTCCACGTCCACATCCATGTCCACGTCCACGTCCACGTCCACGTCCACGTCCACGTCCACGTCCATGTCCACGTCCACGTCCATGTCCACGTCCAAGTCCTCCACATCCACGTCCACGTCCATGTCCACGTCCACGTCCACGTCCACGTCCATGTCCACGTCGACGTCCACGTCCACGTCCACGTCCAGTCCACGTTCAAGTCCTCCAAGTCCACGTCCACGTCCACGTCCATGTCCACGTCCACGTCTACGACCACGTCCACGTCCACGTCCACGTCCATGTCCACGTCCATGTCCACGTCCACGACCACGTCCACGTCCACGTCCACGTCCATGTCCACGTCCACGTCCATGTCCACGTCCATGTCCACGTCCATGTCCACGTCCACGTCCATGTCCACGTTCATGTCCATGTCCACGTCCACGTCCATGTCCACGTCCACCTCCACGTCCACGTCCATGTCCACGTCCACGTCCACGACCACTTCCATGTCCACGTCCATGTCCACGTCCACGTCCACGTCCACGTCCACGTCCATGTCCACTTCCATGTCCGCGTCCACGTCCACGTCCACGTCCATGTCCACGTCCACGTCCATGTCCAAGTAAACGTCCACGTCCACGTCCCCGTCCACGTCCACGTCCACGTCCACGTCCACGTCCATGTCCACGTCCACGTCCACGTCTACGTCCACGTCCACGTCCACGTCCATGTCCACGTCCACGTCCACGACCACGTCCATGTCCACGTCCACGTCCACGTCCATGTCCACGTCCATGTCCACGTCCACGTCCACGTCCATGTCCACGTCCATGTCCACGTCCACGTCCACGTCCATGTCCACGTCCACGTCCATGTCGACGTCCACGTCCACGTCCACGTCCCTGTCCACGTCTACGTCCATGTCCACATCCACGTCCATGTCCACGTCCACGTCCACCTCCATGTCCACGTCCACGACCATGTCTACGTCCACGTCCACGTCTACGTCCACGTCCACGACCACGACCACGTCCACGTCCACGTCCACGTCCACGTCGATGTCCACGTCCACGTCCACGACCACGTCGATGTCCACGTCCACGTCCATGTCCACATCCACGTCCACGTCCACGTCTACGTCCATGTCCACGTCGACGTCCACGTCGATGTCCACGTCCACGTCCACGTCCATGTCCACGTCCACGTCCACGTCCACGTCCACGACCACGTCCACGTCCACGTCCATGTCCACGTCCACGTCCACGTCCACGTCCACCTCCACGTCCATGTCAACGTCCACGTCCATGTCCACGACCATGTCCACGTCCATGTCCACGTCCACGTCCACGTCCACGTCCAGGTCCACGTCCACGACCATGTCCACGTCCACATCCACGTCCATGTCCAGGTCCACGTCCACGTCCACGTCCACATCCACGCCCACGTCCACGTCTATGTCCACGTCCTCGTCCACGTCCACGTCCATGTCCACGTCCACGTCCACGTCCACGACCACGTCCACGTCCACGTCCACGTCCATGTCCACGTCCACGTCCACGTCCACGTCCACATCCACGTCCACGTCCATGTCCACGTCCACGTCCACTTTGACGTCCACGTCCATGTCCACTTCCACGTCTACGTTTACGTCCACGTGCACGTCCATGTCCACATCCACGTCCATCTCCACGTCCACGTCCATGTCCACGTCCACGTCCATGTCCACGTCCACGTCCACGTCCACGTCCACGTCCACGTCCACGTCCATGTCCACGTTCATGTCCACCTCCACGTCCACGTCCACGTCCATGTCCATCTCCACGTCCATGTCCACGTCCACGTCCACGTCCATGTCCACGTCCACGTCCACGTCCTCATCCACGTCCATGTCCACGTCCATGTCCACGTCCACGTCCACGTCCACTTCGACATCCACATCCATGTCCTCGTCCACGTCTACGTCCACGTCCACGTCCACGTCCATGTCCACGTCCACGTCCACGTCCACGTCCACGTCCATGTCCACGACCACGTCCACGTCCACGTCTACGTCTACGACCATGTCCACGTCCACGACCACGTCCACGTCCACGTCCACGTCCACGTCCACGTCCACGTCCACGTCCACGTCCACGTCCACGTCCATGTCCACGTCCACGTCCACGACCACGTCCACGTCCATGTCCAGGTCCACGTCCACGTCCATGTCCACATCCACCTCCACGTCCACGTCCATGTCGACGTCCACGTCCACGTCCACGTCCCAATCCACGTCCACGTCCAAATCCACGCCCACGTCCATGTCCACGTCCATGTCCACGTCCATATCCACGTCCACGTCCACGTCCACGTCCATGTCCATGTCCACGTCCACGTCGACGTCCACGTCCAAGTCCATGTCCACGTCCACGTCCATGTCCACGTCCAAGTCCTCCACATCCACGTCCACGTCCATGTCCACGTCCACGTCCACGTCCATGTCCACGTCGACGTCCACGTCCACGTCCACGTCCAGTCCACGTTCAAGTCCTCCAAGTCCACGTCCACGTCCACGTCCATGTCCACGTCCACGTCTACGACCACGTCCATGTCCACGTCCACGTCCATGTCCACGTCCATGTCCACATCCACGTCCAAGTCCACGACCACGTCCACGTCCACGTCCACGTCCATGTCCACGTCCACGTCCACGTCCATGTCCACGTCCATGTCCACGTCCACGTCCATGTCCACGTTCATGTCCATGTCCACGTCCACGTCCATGTCCACGTCCACCTCCACGTCCACATCCATGTCCACGTCTACGTCCATGTCCACGTCCACGTCTACGTCCACGTCCATGTCCACGTCCATCTCCACGTCCACGTCCACATCCACGTCCACGTCCACGTCCATGTCCACGTCCACAACCAGGTCGATGTCCACGTCCATGTCCACGTCCACGTCCACCTCCACGTCCACGTCCATGTCGACGTCCACGTCCACGTCCACGTCCATGTCCACGTCCACGTCCACGTCCAAATCCACGTCCTTGTCCACGTCCATGTCCACGTCCTCGTCCACCTCCATGTCCACGTCCACGTCCACGTGCATGACCACGTCCACGTCCACATCCACGTCCATGTCCACGTCGACGTCCACGTCCACGTCCATGTCCACGTCCACGTCCATGTCCATGTCCATGTCCACGTCCACGTCCACGTCCATGTCCACGTACACGTCCACGACCACGTCCACGTCCAAGTCCACGTCCACATCCACGTCCATGTCCACGTCCACGTCCACGTCCACCTCCACGTCCACGTCCACGTCGACGTCCACGTCCACGTTGACGTCCACGTCCACGTCCATGTCCACGTCCACATCCACGTTGACGTCCATCCACGTCCACGTCCACATCCACGTCCACGTCCACGTCCACGTCCATGTCCACGTCCACGTCCACGTCCACGTCCACGTCCATGTCCACGTCCACGTCCATGTCCACGTCTACGTCCACGTCCACGTCCACGTCCACGTCCACGTCCATGTCCACGTCTACGTCCACGTCGATGTCGATGTCCACGTCCACGTCCACGTCCATGTCCACGTACACGTCCACGACCACGTCCACGTCCACGTCCACGTCCACGTCCACCTCCACGTCCACGTCCATGTCGACGTCCACGTCCCTGTCCAAGTCCACGTCCATGTCCACGTCCATGTCCATGTCGACGTCCACGTCCACGTCCACGTCCCTGTCCACGTCCACGTCCACGTCCATCCACGTTCACGTCCACATCCACGTCCACGTCTACGTCCACGTCCATGTCCACGTCCTCGTCCATGTCCATGTCCACGTCCACGTCCACCTCCATGTCCACGTCCACGTCCACATCCATGTCCAGGTCCACGTCCACGTCCACGTTCATGTCCACGTCCACGTCCACGTCCATGTCCACGTCCACGTCCACGTCCACGTCCATGTCCACGTCGACGTCCACGTCCACGTCCACGTCCACGTCCAGTCCACGTTCAAGTCCTCCATGTCCACGTCCACGTCCATGTCCACGTCCACGTCTACGACCACGTCCATGTCCACGTCCACGTCCACGTCCATGTCCACGTCCACGTCCACGTCCATATCCACGTCCACGTCCACGTCCACGTCCACATCCACGTCCACGTCCACGTCCACGTCCATGTCCACGTCCACGTCCACGTCCATGTCCACGTCCAAGTCCTCCACATCCACGTCCACGTCCATGTCCACGTCCACGTCCAGGTCCACGTCCACGTCCACGTCCATGTCCACGTCGACGTCCACGTCCACGTCCACATCCACGACAACGTCCACGTCCACGTCTACGTCCACATCCATGTCCACGTCCACATCCACGTCCACGTCCACGTCCACCTCCACGTCCACGTCCATATCCACGTCCACGTCCACGTTCATGTCCACGTCCACGTCCACGTCCATGTCCACGTCCAGGTCCACGTCCACGTCTACGTCCATGTCCACGACCACGTCCATGTCCACGTTCACGTCCACGTCCACGTCCAAGTCCTCCACGTCCACGACCACGTCCATGTCCACGTCCACCTCAACGTCCACCTCCTCCACGTCCATGTTCACGTCCACGTCCACGACCACGTCCATGTCCACGTCCACGTCAACGTCCACGTCCTCCACGTCCACGTCCACGTCCCTGTCCATGTACACGTCCACGTCCACGTCCACGTCCACGACCACGTCCACGTCCACGTCCCTGTCCACGTCCACGTCCATGTCCACGTCCACGTCCATGTCGACGTCCACGTCCACGTCCCTGTCCACGTCCACGTCCACGTCCATGTCCACGTCCACGTCCATGTCCACGTCCACGTCCATGTCCACGTCCAAGTCCACGTTCAAGTCCTCCACGTCCACGTCCACGTCCACGTCCATGTCCACGTCCACGTCCACGACCACGTCCACGTCCACGTCCATGTCCAGGTCCACGTCCACGTCCATGTCCACATCCACCTCCACGTCCACGTCCATGTCGACGTCCACGTCCACGTCCACGTCCCTGTCCACGTCCACGTCCAAATCCACGCCCACGTCCATGTCCACGTCCATGTCCACGTCCATATCCACGTCCACGTCCACGTCCACGTCCATGTCCACGTCCACGTCCACGTCCACGTCCAAGTCCATGTCCACGTCCACGTCCATGTCCACGTCCAAGTCCTCCACATCCACGTCCATGTCCATGTCCACGTCCACGTCCACGTCCACGTCCATGTCCACGTCGACGTCGACGTCCACGTCCACGTCCACGTCCAGTCCACGTTCAAGTCCTCCAAGTCCACGTCCACGTCCACGTCCATGTCCACGTCCACGTCGAGGACCACGTCCACGTCCACGTCCACGTCCATGTCCACGTCCATGTCCACATCCACGTCCACGTCCACGACCACGTCCACGTCCACGTCCATGTCCACGTCCACGTCCACGTCCACGTCCATGTCCACGTCCATGTCCACGTCCACGTCCATGTCCACGTTCATGTCCATGTCCACGTCCACGTCCATGTCCACGTCCACCTCCACGTCCACATCCATGTCCACGTCTACGTCCATGTCCACGTCCACGTCTACGTCCACGTCCATGTCCACGTCCATCTCCACGTCCACGTCCACATCCACGTCCACGTCCACGTCCATGTCCACGTCCACGTCCAGGTCGATGTCCACGTCCATGTCCACGTCCACGTCCACCTCCACGTCCACGTCCATGTCGACGTCCACGTCCACGTCCACGTCCATGTCCACGTCCACGTCCACGTCCAAATCCACGTCCTTGTCCACGTCCATGTCCACGTCCTCGTCCATGTCTACGTTCATGTCCACGTCCACGTCCACGTGCATGACCACGTCCATGTCCACATCCACGTCCATGTCCACGTCGACGTCCACGTCCACGTCCATGTCCACGTCCACGTCCATGTCCATGTCCACGTCCACGTCCACGTCCATGTCCACGTAAACGTCCACGACCACGTCCACGTCCACGTCCACGTCCACGTCTATGTCCACGTCCACGTCCACGTCCACCTCCACGTCCATGTCCACGTCCACGTCCACGTCCACGTTGACGTCCACGTCCACGTCCATGTCCACGTCCACGTCCACGTTGACGTCCATCCACGTCCACGTCCACATCCACGTCCACGTCCACGTCCACGTCCATGTCCACGTCCACGTCGACGTCCACGTCCACGTCCACATCCACGTCCATGTCCACGTCCACGTCCATGTCCACGTCTACGTCCACGTCCACGTCCACGTCCACGTCCATGTCCACGTCTACGTCCACGTCCATGTCCATGTCCACGTCCACGTCCACGTCCATGTCCACGTACACGTCCATGACCACGTCCACGTCCACCTCAACGTCCACGTCCACGTCCACGTCCACGTCCACCTCCACGTCCACGTCCATGTCAACGTCCACGTCCCTGTCCACGTCCACGTCCATGTCCACGTCCATGTCCATGTCGACGTCGACGTCCACGTCCACGTCCCTGTCCACGTCCACGTCCACGTCCATCCACGTTCACGTCCACATCCACGTCCACGTCTACGTCCACGTCCACGTCCATGTCCACGTCCTCGTCCATGTCCATGTCCACGTCCACGTCCATGTCGACGTCCACGTCCACGTCCACGTCCCTTTCCATGTCCACGTCCACGTCCATGTCCACGTCCACGTCCATGTCCACGTCCACGTCCATGTCCACGTCCAAGTCCACGTTCAAGTCCTCCACGTCCACGTCCACGTCCACGTCCATGTCCACGTCCACGTCCACGACCACGTCCACGTCCATGTCCAGGTCCACGTCCACGTCCATGTCCACATCCACCTCCACGTCCACGTCCATGTCGACGTCCACGTCCACGTCCACGTCCCTGTCCACGTCCACGTCCAAATCCACGCCTACGTCCATGTCCACGTCCATGTCCACGTCCATATCCACGTCCACGTCCACGTCCACGTCCACGTCCATGTCCACGTCGACGTCCACGTCCACGTCCACGTCCAAGTCCATGTCCACGTCCACGTCCATGTCCACGTCCAAGTCCTCCACATCCACGTCCACGTCCATGTCCAGGTCCACGTCCACGTCCACGTCCATGTCCACGTCGACGTCCACGTCCACGTCCACGTCCACGTCCAGTCCACGTTCAAGTCCTCCAAGTCCACGTCCACGTCCACGTCCATGTCCACGTCCACGTCTACGACCACGTTCACGTCCACGTCCATGTCCACGTCCATGTCCACATCCACGTCCACGTCCACGACCACGTCCACGTCCACGTCCACGTCCATGTCCACGTCCACGTCCACGTCCACGTCCATGTCCACGTCCATGTCCACGTCCACGTCCATGTCCACGTTCATGTCCATGTCCACGTCCACGTCCATGTCCACGTCCACCTCCACGTCCACATCCATGTCCACGTCTACGTCCATGTCCACCTCCACGTCTACGTCCACGTCCATGTCCACGTCCATCTCCACGTCCACGTCCACATCCACGTCCACGTCCACGTCCATGTCCACGTCCACGTCCAGGTCGATGTCCACGTCCATGTCCACGTCCACGTCCACCTCCACGTCCACGTCCATGTCGACGTCCACGTCCACGTCCACGTCCATGTCCACGTCCACGTCCACGTCCAAATCCACGTCCTTGTCCACGTCCATGTCCACGTCCTCGTCCACCTCCATGTCCACGTCCACGTCCACGTCCATGTCCACGTCCACGTCCACGTCTACGTTCATGTCCACGTCCACGTCCACGTGCATGACCACGTCCATGTCCACATCCACGTCCATGTCCACGTCGACGTCCACGTCCACGTCCATGTCCACGTCCACGTCCATGTCCATGTCCACGTCCACGTCCACGTCCATGTCTACGTACACGTCCACGACCACGTCCACGTCCACGTCCACGTCCACGTCCACGTCCATGTCCACGTCCACGTCCACGTCCACCTCCACGTCCACGTCCACGTCCACGTCCACGTCCACGTTGACGTCCACGTCCACGTCCATGTCCACGTCCACGTCCACGTTGACGTCCATCCACGTCCACGTCCACATCCACGTCCACGTCCACATCCACGTCCACGTCCATGTCCACGTCCACGTCGACGTCCACGTCCACGTCCACGTCCATGTCCACGTCCACGTCCATGTCCACGTCTACGTCCACGTCCACGTCCACGTCCACGTCCACGTCCATGTCCACGTCTACGTCCATGTCCATCTCCATGTCCACGTCCACGTCCACGTCCATGTCCACGTAAACGTCCACGACCACGTCCACGTCCACGTCCACGTCCACGTCCACCTCCACGTCCACGTCCATGTCGACGTCCACGTCCCTGTCCACGTCCACGTCCATGTCCACGTCCATGTCCATGTCGACGTCCACGTCCACGTCCACGTCCCTGTCCACGTCCACGTCCACGTCCATCCACGTTCACGTCCACATCCACGTCCACGTCTACGTCCACGTCCACGTCCATGTCCACGTCCTCGTCCATGTCCATGTCCACGTCCACGTCCACCTCCATGTCCACGTCCACGTCCACATCCATGTCCACGTCCACGTCCACGTCCACGTTCATGTCCACGTCCATGTCCACGTCCACGTCCACGTCCACGTCCATGTCCACGTCGACGTCCACGTCCACGTCCACGTCCACGTCCAGTCCACGTTCAAGTCCTCAACGTCCACGTCAACGTCCATGTCCACGTCCACGTCTACGATCACGTCCATGTCCACGTCCACGTCCACGTCCATGTCCATGTCCACGTCCACGTCCACGTCCACCTCCACGTCCACGTCCATGTCGACGTCCATGTCCACGTCCACGTCCCTGTCCACGTCCACGTCCATGTCCACGTCCACGTCCATGTCCATGTCCACGTCCACGTCCACGTCCACATCCACGTCCACGTCCACGTCCACGTCCATGTCCACGTCCACGTCCACGTCCATGTCCACGTCCAAGTCCTCCACATCCACGTCCACGTCCATGTCCACGTCCACGTCCAGGTCCACGTCCATGTCCACGTCCACGTCCATGTCCACGTCCAAGTCCTCCACATCCACGTCCACGTCCATGTCCACGTCCACGTCCAGGTCCACGTCCACGTCCACGTCCATGTCCACGTCGACGTCCACGTCCACGTCCACGACAACGTCCACGTCCACGTCCACGTCCACGTCCACCTCCACGTCCACGTCCATATCCACGTCCACGTCCACGTCCACGTTCATGTCCACGTCCACGTCCACGTCCACGTCCATGTCCACGTCGACGTCCACGTCCATGTCCACGTCCACGTCCACGTCCACGTCCATGTCCACGTCCACGTCCACGTCCACGACCATGTCCACGTCCATGTCCACGTCCAGGTCCACGTCCAGGTCCACGTCCACGACCATGTCCTCGTCCACATCCACGTCCAAAATAAAAATTGCAAAAATAGCAAGAACAAGGCCCTAGCGTGTGCAAAATAAAAAGAACAAGGGCATAGCGTGTGCAAAATAGCAAGAACAAGGCCCTATCGTATGCAAAATAAAAAGAACAAGGGCCTAGCATGTGCAAAATTGCAAGAACAAGGGCCTAGCGAGCGCAAAATAGCAAGAGCAAGGGCCTAGCATGTGCAAAAAACAAGAACAAGGGTCTAGCGTTCGCGAAATTGCAATAACAAGGGCCAAGCGTGTGCAAAATAAAAAGAACAAGGGTCTAGCATGTGCAAAATTGCAAGAACAAGGGCCAGGCGTGTGCAAAATAAAAAGAACAAGGCCATGGCGTGTGCAAAATAGCAAGAACAAGGTCTTAGCGTATGCAAAATAAAAAGAACAAGGGCCTAACGTGTGCAAAATTGCAAGAACAAGGGCCTAGCAAGTGCAAAATAGCAAGAGCAAGGGCCTAGCGTGTGCAAGAAACCAAGAACAAGGACCTAGCATTCGCGAAATAGCAAGAACAAGGGCCTAGCGTGTGCAAAATAAAGAGAACAAGGGTCTAGCATGTGCAAAATTGCAAGAACAAGGGCCTAGCGTGTGCAAAATAAGAAGAACAAGGGCATAGTGTGTGCAAAATAGCAAGAACAAGGGCCTAGCGTGTGCAAAATAAAAAGAACAAGGGCCTTGCGTGTGCAAAATAATAAGAACAAGGACCTAGCGTGTGCAAAATAAAAAGAACAAGGACCTAGCGTGTGCAAAATAAAAATAACAAGGGCCTAGCGAGTGCAAAATAGCAAGAGCAAGGGCCTAGCGTGTGCAAAATAAAAAGAACAACAAGCCTATCGTGTGCAAAATTGCAAGAACAAGGGCCTAGCGTGTGCAAAATAAAAAGAACAAGGGCCTTGCGTGTGCAAAATAATAAGAACAAGGACCTAGCGTGTGCAAAATAAAAAGAACAAGGACCTAGCGTGTGCAAAATAAAAATAACAAGGGCCTAGCGAGTGCAAAATAGCAAGAGCAAGGGCCTAGCGTGTGCAAAATAAAAAGAACAACAAGCCTATCGTGTGCAAAATTGCAAGAACAAGGGCCTAGCGTGTGCAAAATAAAAAGAACAAAGGCCTAGCGTGTGCAAAAAATCAAGAACAAGGGCCTAGCGTTCGCAAAATAGCAAGAACAAGGGCCTAGCGTGTGCAAAATAAAAAGAACAAGGGCCTAGCGTATGCAAAATAAAAAGAACAAGGGCCTAGCGTGTGCAAAATTGCAAGAACAAGGGCCTAGCATGTGCAAAATAGCAAGAACAAGGGCCTAGCGTGTGCAAAATAAAAAGAACAAGGGTCTAGCATGTGCAAAATTGCAAGAACAAGGGCCAAGCATGTGCAAAATAAAAAGAACACGGGCATAGCGTGTGCAAAATAGCAAGAATAAGAGCCTAGCTTGTGCAAAATAAAAAGAACAAGGGCCTAGCGTGTGCAAAATTGCAAGAACAAGGGCCTAGCGTGTGCAAAATTGCAAGAACAAGGGCCTAGCGCGTGCAAAATTGCAAGAACAAGGGCCTAGCAAGTGCAAAATAGCAAGAGCAAGGGCCTAGCGTGTGCTAAAAATCAAGAACATGGACCTAGCGTTCTCGAAATAGCAAGAACAAGGGCCTAGCATGTGCAAAAAAAAAAAGAACAAGGGTCTAGCATGTGCGAAATTGCAAGAACAAGGGCCTAGCGTGTGCAAAATAAAAAGAACAAGTCATAGCGTGTGCAAAATAGCAAGAACAAGGGCCTAGCGTGTGCAAAATAAAAAGAACAAGGGCCTAGCCTGTGCAAAATTGCAAGAACAAGGGCCTAGCGAGCGCAAAGTAGCAAGAGCAAGGGCTAGCGTGTGCAAAAAATCAATATAAAGGGCCTAGCGTTCGCGAAATAGCAAGAACAAGGGCCTAGCGTGTGCAAAATAAAAAAAAACAAGGGTCTAGCATGTGAAATATTGCAAGAACAAGGGCCTAGTGTGTGCAAAAAATAAGGACAAGGGCATAGCGTGTGCAAAATAGCAAGAACAAGGGCCTAGCGTGTGCAAGATAAAAAGAACAAGGGCCTAGGGTGTGCAAAATAAAAAGAACAACGGCCTATCGTGTGCAAAATTGAAAGAACAAGGTCATAGCGTGTGCAAAATTGCAAGAACAAGGGCCTAGCGTGTGCAAAATAAAAAGAACAAGGGCCTAGCGTGTGCAAAAAATCAAGAACAAGGGCCTAGCGTTCGCAAAATAGCAAGAACAAGGGCCTAGCGTATGCAAAATAAAAAGAACAAGGGCCTAGCGTGTGCAAAATTGCAACAACAAGGGCCTAGCGTGTGCAAAATAGCAAGAACAAGGGCCTGGCGTGTGCAAAATAAAAAGAACAAGGGTCTAGCATGTGCAAAATTGCAAGAACAAGGGCCAAGCATGTGCAAAATAAAAAGAACACGGGCATAGCGTGTGCAAAATAGCAAGAATAAGAGCCTAGCGTGTGCAAAATAACAAGAACAAGGGCCTAGCGTGTGCAAAATTGCAAGAACAAGGGCCTAGCGTGTGCAAAATTGCAAGAACAAGGGCCTAGCGCGTGCAAAATTGCAAGAACAAGGGCCTAGCAAGTGCAAAATAGCAAGAGCAAGGGCCTAGCGTGTGCTAAAAATCAAGAACAAGGACCTAGCGTTCGCGAAATAGCAAGAACAAGGGCCTAGCATATGCAAAAAAAAAAAAGAACAAGGGTCTAGCATGTGCAAAATTGCAAGAACAAGGGCCTAGCGTGTGCAAAATAAAAAGAACTAGTCATAGCGTGTGCAAAATACCAAGAACAAGGGCCTAGCGTGTGCAAAATAAAAAGAACAAGGGCCTAGCATGTGCAAAATTGCAAGAACAAGGGCCTAGCGAGCGCAAAGTAGCAAGAGCAAGGGCTAGCGTGTGCAAAAAATCAATATAAAGAGCCTAGCGTTCGCGAAATAGCAAGAAAAAGGGCCTAGCGTGTGCAAAATAAAAAAAACAAGGGTCTAGCATGTGAAAAATTGCAATAACAAGGGCCTAGTGTGTGCAAAAAAAAAAGGACAAGGGCATAGCGTGTGCAAAATAGCAAGAACAAGGGCCTAGCGTGTGCAAGATAAAAAGAACAAGGGCCTAGGGTGTGCAAAATAAAAAGAACAACGGCCTATCGTGTGCAAAATTGCAAGAACAAGGTCCTAGCGTGTGCAAAATTGCAAGAACAAGGGCCTAGCGTGTGCAAAATAAAAGAACAAGGGCCTAGCGTGTGCAAAAAATCAAGAACAAGGGCCTAGCGTTCGCAAAATAGCAAGAACAAGGGCCTAGCGTGTGCAAAATAAAAAGAACAAGGGCCTAGCGTATGCAAAATAAAAAGAACAAGGGCCTAGCGTGTGCAAAATTGCAAGAACAAGGGCCTAGCATGTGCAAAATAGAAAGAACAAGGGCCTAGCGTGTGCAAAATAAAAAGAACAAGGGTCTAGCATGTGCAAAATTGCAAGAACAAGGGCCAAGCATGTGCAAAATAAAAAGAACACGGGCATAGCGTGTGCAAAATAGCAAGAATAAGAGCCTAGCGTGTGCAAAATAAAAAGAACAAGGGCCTAGCGTGTGCAAAATTGCAAGAACAAGGGCCTAGCCTGTGCAAAATTGCAAGAACAAGGGCCTAGCGCGTGCAAAATTGCAAGAACAAGGGCCTAGCAAGTGCAAAATAGCAAGAGCAAGGGCCTAGCGTGTGCAAAAAATCAAGAACAAGGACCTAGCGTTCGCGAAATAGCAAGAACAAGGGCCTAGCATGTGCAAAAAAAAAACGAACAAGGGTCTAGCATGTTCAAAATTGCAAGAACAAGGGCCTAGCGTGTGTAAAATAAAAAGAACAAGGGCATAGCGTGTGCAAAATAGCAAGAACAAGGGCCTAGCGTGTGCAAAATAAAAAGAACAAGGGCCTAGCGTGAACAAAATTGCAAGAACAAGGGCCTAGCATGTGCAAAATTGCAAGAACAAGGGCCTAGCGAGTGCAAAGTAGCAAGAGCAAGGGCTAGCGTGTGCAAAAAATTAATATAAAGGGCCTAGCGTTCGCGAAATAGCAAGAACAAGGGCCTAGCGTGTGCAAAATAAAAAAAACAAGGGTCTAGCATGTGAAAAGTTGCAAGAACAAGGGCCTAGTGTGTGCAAAATAAAAAGAACAAGGGCCTAGCGTGTGCAAGATAAAAAGAACAAGGGCCTAGGGTGTGCAAAATAAAAAGAACAACGGCCTATCGTGTGCAAAATTGCAAGAACAAGGTCCTAGCGTGTGCAAAATTGCAAGAACAAGGGCCTAGGGTGTGCAAAATAAAAAGAACAACGGCCTATCGTGTGCAAAATTGCAAGAACAAGGTCCTAGCGTGTGCAAAATTGCAAGAACAAGGGCCTAGCGTGTGCAAAAAATCAAGAACAAAGGCCTAGCGTTCACAAAATAGCAAGAACAAGGGCCTAGCGTGTGCAAAATAAAAAGAACAAGGGCCTAGCGTATGCAAAATAAAAAGAACAAGGGCCTAGCGTGTGCAAAATTGCAAGAACAAGGGCCTAGCATGTGCAAAATAGCAAGAACAAGGGCCTAGCGTGTGCAAAATAAAAAGAACAAGGGTCTAGCATGTGCAAAATTGCAAGAACAAGGGCCAAGCATGTGCAGAATAAAAAGAACACGGGCATAGCGTGTGCAAAAAAGCAAGAATAAAAGCCTAGCGTGTGCAAAATAAAAAGAACAAGGGCCTAGCGTGTGCAAAATTGCAAGAACAAGGGCCTAGCGTGTGCAAAATTGCAAGAACAAGGGCCTAGCGCATGCGAAATTGCAAGAACAAGGGCCTAGCAAGTGCAAAATAGCAAGAGCAAGGGCCTAGCGTGTGCAAAAAATCAAGAACAAGGACCTAGCGTTCGCGAAATAGCAAGAACAAGGGCCTAGCATGTGCAAAAAAAAAAAAAAACAAGGGTCTAGCATGTGCAA